TGTTTATAGATATATATTTAGATCAAAAACTCATGCTGGATCATAAATATAATATAGCAGAATCCTATATATTCTATATTTTTATGGTTTATATATTGGTTGCATGATGTCCAAACGTCACAACGTCCAATGATATAAGCCAATGTCATGACGTTCAATTTAAACTATTGGACTTTTGTACGACACAATAATAAATCACATCATGTCCGGTAATCATGTCATGTACAGTAACTGCAAGAAACATAGTCTTTCTACAAGCTTTGGACGTCATGGGATAGTTCGCTGTGCAAAAGCGCACTTAATCCTCTAAAAACTTAGCAGTAGCACCACATGCAAAGCCAATGCCAGTTGCGCGACGTCCAATACCTCAGCACTGTAGCACGACGTTCAGAGCTCCTGCATGCGGAGCAAGGTTAGGTTAGGTATGTTAGGTTAAGTGAGGTTACGTTAGTAGGCCTATGCACTACATAACGGTAAAACAGTCAATGGTGTGAAGGCGCGGACATTGAGGGAAAGCGCTGAGCTAATGGACGTCGTGCAACTGGCAGCGGTTTTAGACGTGGTGCTACTGCTAGGTTAAGAGTAGGCCTATAAAGTGCGCTGTTGCACGAGGACCTATCCCATGACGTCCAGAGCTTGTAGAAAGACTATGTTTTCTGCAGTTACTGTACTTTTAAACATGATGAGATTTGGACGTCGTGCAAAAGTCAAATATTATATATTGGACATCATGGGACTGCTGAAGAATTGTATTTTGGACATCATGATACTGACTTATATCGTTGGATATCATGACACTTGGACATCGTGCAATGCTTTCCATCATTCCATCATAAGATCTATCATTTCCAGATTATTCATACTCTTCTTCACCAACAAAACAATAAACATTTTTTATTTACTGTAAACACAACAGTACCAATTAAGTTACCTTACATAATCCACCAAAAACGAGAACTCGGATTATATACAGCAATTTTCTAATCTGCAATTGGATGATAGTGGTCACTTTTATTAGCCTATAAACTAATTATTATTATTATTATAAACTAATAATAAGTAAAAACCCTAATAGCCTACTGGGTCGTATGTGATGTTGAGAGTTTGCGAGAAACAAAAATAAGTTTACATGTGAATTCAATTTAACCATTGAATTGGTGGTCTTATAACAAAACACCACTCTGGGAACCCCACCTAAGTTAAACTTAATCGTGAATAACATGTTAACTTTGAAGGGCACTGGGGCAGAGCCCTGATGGAATTTGAAAAATGTTTTGTTTGATGGCAAATCTACATGCCACGACCAATTCAACGAGGGTTGCCATCTAGGGTTAGAGAAAAATCGGGACATGCCACCCTCCTTGTGGCAGCAAACCCAGGGAGGCTAACTTACTCATTAAAAAACACAATTTTGGGTCAATCCATCTGAAGTGATCCAATGAAGGTTGCTTGACCATTTTGTATTTTCATATTTTTTATATATGTTTTTACCCTTATAATTAGGACATTAAAACAATTTTTTTTTTTAAATTTTGTATCTATCTCCGTTTGGAAGTAGTGGCCATTTTTGTCAGGCCCCGCACGGAGATTTTGGTATAGAAAATCTATATACACAAATTAGTAACAATGCAATAGTAAACTTGTTACAAAATTAAAAGCTAGAATATGTCTAGAAAAAATATTAAGAACCAAAATATCCTAAAATCAAAAGCGTTTGGTTCTATGTAACTTAAATGGACTGGATTTACTTAGCGTTCAAGAAGACTCATCCAGAGTCTCAGCGTTATACATATGATCATAGACAAAAGCAGTATTGTCTAGACTCCTTTTATCTATGATATGATACATTAAAAACTTTGGCAGTATCAACATTTTGTGAGCTGCAGCCTAAGTGGTGCATTTTGGCTGGACGCTCAGGTACACATTCTGTGCATGTGCGTGTGTACCACCAATATGTAAATTTAATGATTGATGGTGCCAAACTTAATGTTAACTACAAAGAGTAACCTACTATTTATGGTCGCCATTTCATTGAACAGTATAACTGGAGTTAATAGTATGTGACACTAATGAGTATGTATGACTGTATGGTTTTGGGCTTTTTATTACTGTGATCATTTCTCCTCGGTCTGTTGTAACGCACTGTTTAAACTCGATACTATCTGGTTGATCCTTCTATGAATCCATCAACATTTCAAGTAGAGTTCCTGTTCCTCGACACAGTTTCCCACCATACATCATACTCATAAGTGTCATATCCTATTAACTCCAGATAGGCCTACTCTTTGTAGTTAACATTAAGTTTGGCACTATCAATCATTAATTTTACATATTGGTGGTACACAGTACACACACAGAATGTGTACCTGAGGGTCAAGCCAAAATGCACCACTTAGGCTGCAGCTCACAAAATTTTGATCTGCCAAAGTTTTGATAATGTATCATGTATAACACTGACACTCTGGATGACACAGCATGTAAGTTAGGCCTAAACTTATATGTGTTTTTTTACGTCTCAGACAAATTTAACACAATCCCCGGTACCCAGTAATCTTCTGTAAAGGAGCAATGAACAAGGCCTTATTTTAATTAAACATTTACAAAGGATCTATTCTATAGATTGCAGTTAGGCCTACCTCCTAAGAATACTCAAAATAAGGATGCAAGATACTCTGCAGCAAATAAGAACGTTAACCCTACTCTCCAACTCTATAGACCATAACTCTAATATAGTGAATAATGTACTGAAATAAACTGTCACTAGTTTTACTCACCACTCACCTCTTTTTCGGAAAATGAATTTGCAATTTGCAAAACTTGAGATTCAAAAACGATTCTCATTCATTCGTTGAATCGTTGATAAACAAACATAAACATAACCTCAAATATAAAAAAAAAATACTTTTGATTGATATTTTTTACATAAGCTGGCTTATTAGAAAAGTAAGCCTGGAAGAGCCCATAGATTAAATATACTCCATTTTGTTGGTTGGTCGAGTATGTTTTATCTATGGTTGGTCTAATAATATTATTTTTAATTAAATTGGTTTGGTTTTATGCAGCGTTAATATGGTTTATATAATCATAGATAAAACATACTCCCTTAGTAGATTTCTCATCCTTATGGAACAGCTGAAGACCATTTTATTGTTAGTTCTGTACGGTTTTCTGCAGATGTCGTGTTTTGTTTACAATTTGTTTCCCGTTATTACAGCCATTTAAAACCTCGTTTAACCAAATAATACGATCTAATCATAAACAATAACTTGTCCCCGAGTTATATAACCAAACAGTAAAGCACAAATCAAGAAATTAACCCTAAAATAATAGAAACAAAGTTTCGTCGACACTAGCGCCCATGTGTCACGTACATGAACTAGACACGAAAAAAACGTGCTTCAAAATTTACAATGGGATGAGAAGTCTACTTGTGTTGGTTAGTCTATGATATAATATGGTTAATATGTTTCTAACTTGGTTGCAGGCTTAAGTGAGTTTCCGTAGAAAATTATTCAACGGCAAAGAGTAAACATAGTAATCCGTAGTCCATGAATACTTACGTACAGTCGTACAGTACTACCATAGATAAAACATACTGGCACTACCTTTGACTATTATATAAATACGAATACCATGAGTATTCGTGTATTAATCTTTGGTGCATTAATATATTAGTGTGTTAGGTAGTCGATAGAATGTATAAATTTAATCAGACATGTTGAAGTTAGCTTAGTCTGCAGGTTTGCTGTGGTGGGGTATTATTTATACCATATCATCCCATGGTGGAAGGTGTTTTTCCTTCCACCATGAATTTTTTCATATGGACGGTAAACTTATTATTAAAATCATTATGATATTATTGTATAAAATATAGGCTACATAAAATTGTCAACGCACCTTGGTTTATACCAACAGAACACTTCACAATGATCTTAAAATTTGAACAGTCGAAGAAGAAATTATAAAATCTTGTGAAAAATACATTATCAAATTGGAAAATCATTCAAATCATCCTGCACTTAATTTATTGGACAATCACAACACCATTTACAGACTAAAGCGACGTACAATTGGACCTCCCATTCAGATTCGGGTAAGTGTTATCAAAATTATCTTTGCTAGCTAGTGTTGACAGTGGTCAATCACTAGCTCATGTTCTTCAAGTTAATGTTGTATTATTATTTATATCATTTGGTATCACTGTTCACCTTGAACAGATTGTAAATTGAATAAAGTAAAAAAATACGATAACATTATCGAGCTGGTTAAAAATCGAAACATTTTGATATGAATCGTAATTCATCAAAAATATATCAAAGTTTGAGGTTCTCACTGTTCCCTTCTAAAGCCTCGGTTTTCTGCGGAAGTCTACCACAACATACCGATACCACCACACCACTACGATGCCCCCACCACCCACCACTAGAGATGGAAATTACGGCTACTTTTCGATAACGCGTTCCACCGTTCCGTGACTGACTGGTATTAGGTGACAGTAACCTGTTACTTCTGTCACCTAATACCGTGTCACTTCATGGCTTCAGTTACGCGTTCGTTACCGTTACAGACCATTTTACAGACATTCCCTCCAGATCCATTTAGTAATGTCAACAGTCAGTCACGGAACGGTAGAACGCGTTATCGAAAAGTAGCCGTAATTTCCATCTGTACGCGGTGATAGAGTAATGTGAGTTATTATAAATTATTCAAAGTGAAAGTTCAATGCGCTGCAACATAGTAACAGTAACAGATGCAAGTTTATAATTAATTGTATACTTTAAAATTAGTCTTGTTTCTCGACTGATTATACAACAAAATACAATAAAAACACCAACCTTCCCTCAAAAAAACAAAACTCAACGTCTCCGTCTCCTCTGTCCTCTCCTCTCCTCGCTCACTCTCCCTCCTCCTGACTCCTCAGTCCTCACCTCAGTCTCTTTTGAGTATAGTGTTTTAGTTGTTCATGGTTTCATTTCATTTCATTTAGTTAACAGGAAGGATTAAGTAAGATTAAGACATATAAGAAGTCAGGACTCAGGAGGACATGTCTAAACTAGAATCTTAGTTTCTTGTGTGATCTTGATATGGAAAAGAAATAAGTTTTATATTGTTGATTAGGCTAGGGTTATAGCTGGAGCTGGAGACTAATTTAGGACAAGCAAGGTAAGAAGAATCTATTCTTTACCTACTATTGATTTTCTCTCAATCTGATTTGTCAACATTGCTTCTTGAACTGTAACTAAGATACCAGAACAATAGCTCCAGTATTTTTCTAGTAATCGTGGCTCCAGCCAGCCCACATTCGACATAAGGAGCAAACTCGCACTTGAAAGCCCATTTTTTCTAGAAATTTAGCACCGATAACTGATGCTTCAAAGAAACATCTTTATTTAATGAAATAAAGAATACGATCATGTGTGTTTTTCTATTGGTGGCTGATGTGTTTGCTACAATGTCGATGGCTGTAACTTATCTTGTAAACTCACCCTGTGTAAGCATGCCTACATTACAACCATGACATGGCATGGACTCATTAGGTTTCTTAACTGAGCTAGGGTACACTTCCATATCTGTTGGCACAAACAACCGAATGAAAATATTGATCGATACCTATATCAAACTAAAAAATCGAATAATCAATATTACTCATTCGGTTGTTTGTGCCAAAACAGATATGGAAGTCTACTCCTGAGTTATGCTAATATCGATTGGAACTATCGAATTGAAAATATTGATTAATAATTGATAAGTTATTTTAAAATATATCTAACTTATTACAAAATTTAACTCAGGTATCATAACCTAACCTAACCAACCAAACTTGCTGATGGTAAAAAAATTGCATGAAAGTTTACTTATCGAATCAATAGTTTCAATCGATATTTAGCATAGCCCAGTTAAGAAACTGTACTCCTCATCTATATATATAAAAGGCAAAGCCCTCACTGACTCACTCACTCACTCACTCATCACTAATTCTCCCACTTCCCATTTACCTAGGAGGCTGAAATTTGGTACACTGATTTTTTAGGCATTAAATAGGAAAACTAAGTAGTTTTTATTCTGGTTGGACTCTCGGGCTCCGCCCCAGTGGCTTTGGAGTTTCCCATGTTCCTTATGATTTTTCATATTTAAAAGGAATTAATGAATCTTAACAGCTGTTTCAATTAAACAAGTTGGTTCTATTCTATGATGTTCAATAGCATTAAAAGTTACAAGGATTACCAACAGGGTGCAGCACTATTTTTTTTTAAATTTATGACAACAGCGAATTTGCAACCAAAAGGTGAGTGAGCGTAGCGAACGAACTTCAACCTGGAGTCAAATTAGCGTAGCGAACGAGCTAACCTGAAGGCAAGTGAGCGCAGCGAACGAGCTCCAACCTAAAGGTGAGTGAGCGTAGCAAACGAAATTCAATCAGGACGTGATTGAGCCATGCGAATACTTATGAAGTTAAACGGGGCAAAGCCCGATGGTACAGCTAGTTAGTAACTAATCACCAGTGCTGGCTTTACAAAAAAAAATACATAGGCCCTAGGCTCCACCTGTCATACAAGCCCTATGGGTTGTGGGTTAGTCTACCCAGAGTTGCCACTTTTGTCATAGGGGAAAATCAGGGCTTTTAAAAATATGTTTTTAGGTATTAATTTCTAAATTTTTTCCGGACCCCTCTTTATCTGGGGGATATTAAATAAGTTACCCCCCAGACCCCTGGTGGTCATACCCTCCGGAATGAAATCCTGGGACTGTCAATGGTCCTCACCAATGAAAGGGTGTTGGGGCCCACCCTACAAAAAAGAGAAAAATGAAAACAATATGGTGATTTTGAAAGAAACCAAGTGGCTAAAGATTGGCTAAGTTATTGAGTGAAAAATTAAAACCGTACATTTTCAAGAAAAACACTTTATAATAATTGTTTCCATTTTTCAGAACATTTTTTTATATTATTTTTAATTTTATTGCCGTTTGAAGTTTCATAGAATGTCTATGGTAATGCAATATCTTTGGTGGTTTTGTATTAATACAGCATCTTTGACGGAAAAACACAACATTCTGTCACGACCATAACGAATGTAAAATTGAATATTAAAAATAGTTAATGACATTTTTATAAATATGTTTTGCTGTAAATAGATTAGGTTTTAGGGCCATTTTGCAATGAACAGCTCACTAAGCTTTTGGTATATTTGGTATTTCTACAAAAAATCGAAAAAACTAAAAAAAATCTCTAAGTTTGTATAGCTCCAAACAAACCATCTCGATATATGAAAAACCTTTATGTTTTAGGATTGCCACTGTCATGTTCCAAAGTTGCAAATTTTGCCATAATGGTCGGGACGTCAAATCAAGCGACAGACCTATTTTGTCATGGTAGTCATGGTAGAAAATTCCTTGAAGGGACTGATTCACTAGTGTGCAGAGAGGTTGTTCAATAAGTTTAAAAACTCTACTAATAACAAAGAGGAGAATTTCTTCCCAACCTGAAGATTCAGTATAGCTAAGACTGGTGAAAACTTTTTGCGTTGTGAACTTTTTGTACAAACCTGTTAGCTCTAAGATCCATTTTCCCCTCCAGTATAACATTTTTTGTCTGGCCAAACCAATTTTCACAAGGGGCATTGCTCATTCTTTCCAATACATCATCGTTACTATCACCTTCCAGCATGACTCCAGGCCAAAATGGCAAGTATGCAACACATCTCTTTGCTATAACCTTAGCAATGGCTGGGCAAAAGTAATCATTGTTTGTTTCATGTTGTCCATTTAGTTGTGTTGCATGAGGACAAAGACATTGGGGTACTTGTATACTTTTCCTTTTCACATTGATCGTTGTCAGCCTTCAAAATTCTGTGTTCACAAAACAAGTGGTCATTCATTGAACACAAATCTTTAAAAAAGGGACTTTTCCTGTACAAAGAAGATATTTTGTCATTAGGTACTTCATCTATGATTTGTTCATCATGGTCCTCGCCTGTGCCGTAAAATTCATCAGGATCGTTTGTGCAAAGTGATTGTAAGCTAGAAAGTGCAACTGCTACATCATTATTATTATCAAGAGCAGAGTAAACAGGTCTGTTAGTACTGTATTTATTTTACCATATGACATACAATTTATGATAAAACAAATCACCTGCAATACCAACTGTTTTACAGCCTTTCTGCTTTTTAACCGACTTCCCCACTACCAACAAAAGGAGGAGGTTCTCAATTTGTTTGTGGCAATGTTTTTTTTTCTATGTATGTTCATCAATTTCTCTGTGATTCTTTTACCGATCAGTGTGGTTCCACCACCAAAATAACCAGGAGAGTTTCTATTTGGTACCTTATATATTATGTTTAAGTAGACCTATAATATTTGTTTCGGTGAAAAATTCTGAAAACCTTAACCCTCCGAGTGTCCCTTGTTTTGGCCTTAATGTCTGTCTATTTTTTGCTCATTTGCAAGGTTTTATTAAAACGGATCTGAGAAGCTTGAAAACAATGTTAATTATACTGTTCTATATACCATTGTGTTTGGAAAATCATGGGCTTCAATATTATACATAGAACATAAGGAACATTTGTTTCAAAAAATTTTTTTGGGTAAAAAAAATATTTTGGAAAATAAAAAAAATCAGTTACCGCTTAATGAAATTGTATAAATTATAGGCCTATAAATATTTGAAAATAGCCACTTTGTTCTAAATTTTATGAGGATTACAAATATATAATAATATAAGGAAGTAGATTTGCAAATAAATAAGTTATGGGCAAAAAACAGATTTCAGTACTTAGCGTTTAGCTAAGAATGCATAGCTAAAAATCTGGCTGATAATTTACATCAATATCACTACCTACTTCTTCAGGATCATCAACCAGCCCTTCAAAATCACTTAAATCTTCTTATAATGCACCACGTATATCACTACTTTTGATTTTTAACACTAAAACAATGATAAACGTAATAAAACACATCAGTCATCGGTCCTAGGTTAACCAAGCTGTTTACAAATACGCACGTCAGCTGTCTGCTACAATATTTTTGGAACTAAAATGAATAGCGCTTAGAGACAGACCTCCGGAGAAAGCTCTGAATCTGTAAAATAAAACGATACCTAACTCGATCCAGTTCAATCCGATTTTGTCAGTCATAGAGCCTTCGCCGTAAACAGTGTTTGTGAGTCGCTGCAGCGACAAATAACACTCGGAGGGTTAAATATTTAACATTTATTTTGTTTACATTTGTGCAGAGAAGGCAATAAATAATGATAGCATTCCTACAGCTGTTAGTTGAAACCATTTGTGCAGAGAAGGCAATAAATAATGATAACATTCCTACAGCTGTTAGTTGAAACCATTTAAATGAAGCTACAGCCAATTCTTCATGAAACAGTTGTTTGCTTCATATTGATCAATAAACTATTTCTTGCCATGGAGTCTAAATGAATTACATTGAGTTGTGTATACAGTAATTCTGTTTTTAGTATTGAATATTCCGACTAAAAAAAAAAAAAAAAAAAAAAAATATATATATATATATGATTCTAAAGATTCAAAGATTTATTTCAACAAGAAACAAGATTGCACACTTGTACAGTTGACGTCAAGATACTAAGACTAATAAATTAACAAGAGTGAATATATATATATATATATCTAAAGATCAACAATGCTATCTATATAACTATAAACAAGGTAACAAGGTGTAAACATAACAGAGCAAGACTAGTCAATGTCAGTAATTAATTACTAAAACTTAAATTAATTCTGGAACATTAAAAATATTCTTCCAAACTATAAAACGGATTGTCAAGCAGCCAGGCCATTAGACTAGATTTAAAGGACTTCATGCTAACATGGTGTGACTCAAGAGGTAGCCTGTTAAACAATTTAATACCAAGATAAGAAAAGGATTCTTGTGTTTTTGCAAGCCTTGCCTGAGGTAAATCTAAGTAATGTCTCCTCCTGGTTAAATGGACATGAGTTTCACCTCTTAAAGCTATGGAACCTAGATTTGCTTTTACATGTAACAAACACTTTTTTCGAAGAAGATGAACTACTCTTGATAGTCTACTTGTAACATTATTTATGTGGAAATTCCAATTGAGTTTTGAGTCTAAATGTATTCCTAACAGTTTTACATTCTCATTCACATAAGATAAGCTAAGATTCCTGCTTCTTAAGCTAAACAAAATAGACTGGGTTTTGCTACTATTTAACAACAAACCATTACTTTTAAACCATATATTACATTCAGAAATGCAATTTTCCATCTGACCCTTAATAGTTTCAATGTTGACATCATAACCAAGAACAGGAAAGGGCCAAAGACCGACCCCTGGGGTACACCACTTTTCATCACCTCTGCATCAGAGAGACTATTTTTGTAACAAACTCTCTGCGAGCGGTTGGTCAAATACCGGCGAAAAAGGTTTAGCTCAACACCTCTGATACCATAATATTCCAATTTAGCAAGAAGAATGTCATGCGGAACACAGTCAAATGCCTTTGAAAGATCACACATGGTTGAAAGTGTGTCCGCATGTTTCAGTGAATAGCTGTATGATATTGACAAATAAAGGTGTATTGTGAAAACCAAAGCATTCGTAAAACAGGTCTAAATATAAATTAAATGCAATTATTCCTCACACGACCTAAGAAGTGTGACAGTGCATAATCGTCAATTGTCTTAAAAGTGTTAAATATTTTAATTACCAAACATGCATTTGCAGATGTGGAATGTTTATTGATATTCTCTACCCAGTTACTATATCATATCAATACTATTATGCCTGCTTCGGAAAGTCCTAGAGGAAGATGATTTGCAATTTCGACTAGGCTATATCTTGAGCAAACAAAACCCCCTACATGACTTACACCACTTTTAGCTGAACCAATCTTTCATATAATATTTTGCAAAGTTCCAAGTTTGATCCAAATATCCATAAACAAGCTAACTTGATGCTATGAGTCCTCTTTTCAGGAGGTCCTTGCTGGGGTTCCACAGGGGTCAGTTCTCGGTCCACTACTGTTTCTAATCTATATCAATGATCTGCCCGGCAATATTCCTTGCAAAACCATTTTATATGCGGATGACACTTCTTTTATAATTACTGATAAAGTGTTAAAAAATGTAAAAGCACACAGTGACAGAGTAATGGAATTAGCCAGTTCTTGGTTTAATGCTAACTACCTTACAGTCAATGCCAAGAAGACTGAAACAATCTGTTTTACTTTAAAAAAAATAGACTCAGAGGAAGATTGTAAGCCTGTTAAATTACTGGGTGTCACTCTAGATCAGAAGCTTACATGGGAATCTCATACCAACTCAGTAGTTTCTAAACTTTCAAGGGCCTGTTTTTTATTACGCAAGCTTCAACAATGTGTTGGCAGAAATATGTTGTTAAATACCTATTTTAGCGATTTTCACTCCCATTTGTTATATGCCACAATGCTCTGGGGAAATAGTAGTGGTGCTCTTCATGTTTTTGCTTGGCAAAGAAAAGCAGTAAGGATTTTGGCCAATTTACCTTATCAAGATGACTGTAAGCAATGCTTTATTAACTACAATATAATGACTGTCCCTTGCATTTTTATATTTCAAAATCTTGTACATGTAAAGGAAAACCAGAGTGACTTTATATGTTTTGACAAGGTCCATGATTATAACACCAGAAGAGCACAAGATATTGTTCCACCCTATTCTAGATTGCGGAAAACAATAGTCAGCCATAAATATCTACAAATTAAGTGTTTTAATAAATTGCCACAAGAGATCAGAAACCTCAAAATTCAACAATTTAAATTGAAACTGTCAAACTGGTTTATAAGCAAAGCTTTTTATTCTCTTGATGAATTTTGTTCATATAAATTTTAATTTGATCTGTTATGAGCTTTAATTTAGTGATACTTTGGTGAGTGGTTGTAGTTGATTTATTGTTAATTTTCGTAGTTTATATCAATTTATTGCTGAATGCTAATTATTTCTTTGTTATGTTTTACTCTGTTACATCTGTTAGTCTGACAAGTACATTGTACTATTTCTTTTTATACTGCATATTACTGTATTTCTTATGTTCTTTGACGTTGTCTATAGCAATGTAATGTTGACAAATGACAATAAATGGATTCTGATTCTGATTCTGATTCTAACTACAACAGTTTACTTATTTTCCATAAGAATAACATGGGAATTTTTAATTTACAATTTTCTCCGGACCACCGTACCGGTAACCAATAACCATACAAAAACACTTCAATACTAAATTATTTGTTTTTTTTTAAGGAATTTCAATGACACAGTCTGCATCACAGCCCCCCCCCCCCTAGTGGGCACCCCTGCCCACATTTACAAATTAACTTGTTATTCAGGGTGACTTGTTATCAAGGTCTAATGCCTATATTTTTGCCAGTTTGGGTGAACATCTAGTTGACATAGTAAACAAGTTTTCATCCATCCATAACATTGTTTAATTCTAAAAATTAACTTTACAAAAGATTTTTTACATATTTGATAGATAGGGCTAGGGCTACTGTTTATAATTTAATCTTTTTAAAAATTTTAACATCATTACCAAACCAACAGTAAAATTTTTGTCACATGATTTAACAATAGACAGAGAATAAACAGACAGCCAAACCCCGAATCACGGATTACAACACATGGGATAAATATGATGCTGATACCGAAATTGTAAAGATGGATTTGGAGGCTCAACAAGATATTGGGAAAGAAAAAGAAGTGAAAAGGTTAAAAGAGGTGGAAAATGAGAGGCTTCAGCTGATTGTTAAAGAAGCAGGTAAATTACAAGTAACCTAGTTAAAATATGTTAATTAGGCCTAATGCTATTCAGTGCAATTCATAACCTTTCTGATTTCAGTATTTAGATAGTTCCATTGTAATATGCTTTAAAATAGTTTATGTAATGTATTGTAATTTACCATATCATACCACGTGATTAGCTGTAAATTTACGTCTGACAATCCTGAAATTTCATAAGAAGACATAATCCCTCTTAACTATTTATTAGATAATATCTATATTACTCCTAAACAAGTACTAGTTTTATTTGAATTAAAAGTGTTTCCATCAATCAATCTTGATATCTAGAGCCTAAATTGTAATTAGTGAAAAATAAAGGTTCATGCTTGTTCGGCTGAAAAGGACCTGGTCCAATAACAGCCCTGTCCGGGGGTTTCGGATTCCTGGACTAAATATCACGATATTTTATTTTCAATAACTAACTTGTCAAATCCAAACTTAAAGTTGTAGTTATTTAATGGTGTTGAGCTAAATTACAAATCCAACCCATAATATTACAGGATGGCTCCAAATTGATCTGTCGCCTGTTGATTGGTCAGAATCAATGTATTCTCCATCTAAAAATATTGTTTAAGATCTCAGAAACATTTGGGACTGTAGAAGCCATACCAAATATTTTTCTAACAGTCGCCTATAAAAAAACTGCCACATAAGCAAGAACCTCAACCTGGAAAAGTATTTTAACACACCTGTTCTATGTACCATTGCTTTAATCTGCTGCTATAATAGTTTACGCAACGATCGCGTGAAGATAGTCTTTAAGACATTAGTAGGCGAGTGCCTTAAAAACATCTACCGTTGTCTTAAAGGCTAATTACGCGAGTTGCATACACTACTTTACCTACAACCGTTTTTTGATTACTTACAGTCACTACTCATAACGTCTAAGAGAGGTTATGTTTTTGTTTATAACCTCTCATTGCCACTGATTGTCATGCAAAGACTCATTGTCCCAACCAATCACTCATTGTATAATCAATTAAATTGGCCTTAACAGCTGATAAGTTGAGTTTCAACTCATTACAATTTTACTCCTTTTCTCTCAATCTTTGATCGTCATTGGTCCAAACTTGTACTGTAAAGTAACAAAACAATGTTGTTAAGTAATTAAACAATACTGTAAAGTGAATCTTTTCAATTCTAAGAACTGAATTGAAAAGGCTAGTTTAGTTAACGGTCGTAGGTAAAATATTAAACACCCATTTGGTTAAGTAGCGCTCGTCGCTTAGTATAATAGATCTTCCTAATTTTTCACACTTTGAAATATTTCAGAAAAACTGTCAGAGACAGAAAAAAAAGCACTGGCCGAAAAAGAAAAGGACCGCGGAAACGAATACTATGGAGCAAAAGAATACATCGAAGCAGAAAAATATTACTCCGCATCAATAGCAATATGGCCAACAGCTAAGGCTTTCAACAATAGAGCAGCATGCTGTAAGTATCATGTAAAGAATGGATAAAAAATTGGATAGGTTAGTTACCTTGTATTAATAGTCCTGGAGGTGAAAACGGGCAAGTACCCGCAGCTCACGGGGACACTCAAGGGCAACGTAACTTTCCGCAGTGTGAGGGCAACGGTTTGTAGGTACTTATGCAAACCTATCCCTGTCTCTGAGCACGGACGATATGGTTATCTTGAGTGTGGGGGGTTCTTCCCGGAACCTCAATTGAGTCAAGGGTGTCGCCACCTCTGGTGGATAGGTTCATCCGGGTGGGTCCCACTTCTATACCTGCCTCCTTTTGGGAAACCCTGATGGCCTGGCAGTGATGTTGGGTCTGACGGGCAAACGAAGTAGATCGGGTGCTGGGTCCGAGCCCGCCAGGGGTATCTGGGGATCTATCGCTCTGGATATCTCTGGTTCCCAGCAATGGGTCAGGCCTCGATCGGGCAGCGGTGTAAATGGGAGGTTGGGGTTCCCCCCGTCAGCGTTCTGATGGTCCCCTTCCTCCTGGCTATTGATGGCGGGTTCTGCCTGTCAGGGATTAGATAGGTCCCGAGTGTTGCTTGCACTAAATGCGTCGGGGCGCTCTACTATGGACCTTTAGGTTCCGACCTAGTGGAACCCAGGTGGAGTGACGCTTAAACAAGCAGCCGGAATCCCTGGTTAGGATTGAGGGGCAACCCTCTTTCCGAAGGGTCTGCTTCGGCAGCCGGCGAGCCTGATGACCTTAAGTCATCCGCCCATGATGAGCTAAAGGTTGATGCGCAAGCTTCGGCCTACATCATGGGGCCCGGGTATGTCCTGAAGGATAGGTACCGGGTAAGCAGTCAGGGGGCTTCGGCTCTCATGACAACAAATGTAAATGTAATGTAAATGTAATGTAATGTAATGTAATGTATTAATAGTTTCCTGTATGGTTATTTACATGTTTTGTTACGTGTGTTATCAGATGATACGATACAAAGTTATAGTGTATATTCGTATTAGTGAAAGTTTTTATCTAATATTTACGTTAAAAACACATCTCATTACAGCATTGAAATGTAAATTAAACGTTACAACATTTTAACCCTCCGAGTGTTAAGCGTTGTGTAATCGACGCACAACACACCCGCCGTGGTGTTATGCGTCGCTTTTGCGACACACAGGGTGTCTAGTAGTCGGGAAAGTCGGGAATTAGTATTGAATTTCAAAATGGTCTTGAAAAGTCTGGATTTTGTCTTAAATTTGATTTCAAAGTCGGGAATTTTCATGATTTTGCCGCGATTGTCGTCTTGCGTTTACGTAACCGCGAAAGCCAATGATGATGATGTCTACACGGCCTCGGGAAATGTTCACGATTTTGCCACGATAGTGGACAACGACGATGACATTTCCGTGACCGCGGGAGATGACGTTTCCGTGACCGCGGGAGATGACGTTTCCGTGACCGCGGGAGACGACGATGATATCTGCTCGGCCGCGGTAAATGTTCATGATTTTGTCGCGATCGCAGGAGATGACGATGACGTTTCCGTGACCGCGGGAGACGACAATGATATCTGCTTGGCCGCGGGAAATGTTCATGATTTTGTTGCGATCGCGGACGACGACGATGACGTTTCCGTGACCGCGGGAGATGACGGTGATGTATAAATAGCCGCGGGAAATGTTCATGATTTTGCCGCAACAGTGGGCGACGACGATTACATTTCCGTGACCGCGGGAGATGACGATGACGTTTCCGTGACCGCGGGAGACGACGATGATATCTGCTCGGCCGCGGTAAATGTTCATGATTTTGTCGCGATCGCGAGAGATGACGATGACGTTTCCGTGACCGCGGGAGATGACGATGACGTTTCCGTGACCACGGGAGACGACGATGACGTTTCCGTGACCGCGGGAGACGACGATGATATCTGCTCGGCCGCGGTAAATGTTCATGATTTTGTCGCGATCGCGGGAGATGACGATGACGTCTCTGTGACCGCGGGAGACGACGATGATATCTTCTCGGCCGCGGTAAATGTTCATGATTTTGTCGCGATCGCAGGAGATGACGATGACGTCTCCGTGACCGCGGGAGATGACGATGACATTTCCGTGACCGCGGCAGACGACGATGATGTCTACACGGCCGCGGGAAATGTTCATGATTTTGCCGTGATTGCGGACGTCAATGATAACGTTTCCGTGACCGCGGGATACGACAGTGATTTCTAAACAGCCGCGGGAAATGTCCATGATTTTGCCGCGATCGCCCTGCGATTGTGCAATAAATGTGTCGACATTAATACCATTACTATGGACACTTGGAGGGTTAAGTATGTAACCTTAAAATTGGCTAATTTACTAGCAAAATGCGAAGTTTTTGAAATCATGGTAGAAACAACTGTAAATCTAGATAATTCACTATTACCCTTTTTTTTATTAAATCATAATTATGCTAATTTTAAAAAGTGTGCATGTTTGTGGTTTGCACTTACAACCTTAACAGACTCTGGTAAGTGGACATAATTGTTTCAATAGTTTACTTTTCTTTGACACGGATACAAACAGCAAGTTTGGGTTGAACCGCTGGTGGTTGACTGTGGCGAATAGACGAATGGACATGGATGATGTTGTGATGTATATGGAGCTGAATCAGGTGATGTTTTGTAGCCAATGCCATTAATGAAAATGGTATGATATAGTACTGTAAAAAGGTGGCATGATGTACAGTAGAAACTTGCTAATCCGTCACCTAAAGGACTGGGAGCATGGTCGAAACAGCAACAAGGTCAGATTATTAGAGGAACGTGTTTATTGACATAAAAACATAGTAAAACTGTATTTTTAACAGACCACGGATAACTGAAAACCATGATTAATCCAACACGACATTTCTAACTCATAAACAAAGCCTAATATTGTATAAATGGACTTAAATGTGATAATTTGCATAATACATCATCAAAATACAATTAGTAGGCTTTTACGCAATCATGATAATTCTTTTGGGCTGCACTTTAGTTTACGTCCTACACTTATTCCAATGAATATATCGATCGATATATCGATTATTTAATTCGATATATTAAGTTTGGTTAGATAGGTTAAAACCTAATCTAACTAACCGAATGAAATAATCGATATATCGAATAATACAGTAGAGTCTCGCAAACTCGGCACTCGATAACCCGGCAGTCTGGATAACTCGGCCATCACCTGGCGCAGATAGTTAGTGATTTTTTGTGTCTGAGTTAAACATGAACTGAAGCCAGCTCAAGTCGAATCATTTACAACTCTTACTAAGGATTTGTTTACAATATCTGATGACTTAATACTGACTTGTAATATAAATATAAAAAAGGCGGTTAAAAAGCTTTAAAATTGTATTGTTCTTATTTTTAACCCTAGTTCCCAATAACCCAGCATTTCACAAACTCGGCACCCTTCCAGTCCACATTACGCCGAGTTTGCGGGACTCTACTGTATATTAATCAATATTTTTCATTCGAATGAGTGTAGGACGTAAACTAAAGTACAGCCTTCTTAGTGTAGGCTACTGCTACGCTGTTTCAGGACTGAAGAATGTCGATAAAAACATTAGATAAGTAACGCATAAAAAAGTATAAAATAATAGTAGCCCACTTATAGATGATAAAAACAGTCGTAAAATCATGTTTAAAATACACCTATAAATATAACAATGACATAAATACATCTCTTATTCTTTCTCTTTGTTCTTCTATTCTTTCTTGAGTTTCTCTTCATCCACCCATTCAACAAGTTGCCGTGGTTACTTATCACCCAATCACAGGCTACTAAAGTTGTCATGGTTACCAAATACCCAATCACAAAATGTTGTGACAAAGCAGGCGCACAGCAGACAGATGTGTAGGTCTAAGGAGCAGACAATTGTCAGTACAAACAGATAGCTTGACCTTGAAGCTTTATTCAACATTTCTTTGTTTTGCTTCCTCAAAAACAATTATGTGGGAGCCTACTACATATAAATAATGGGCTACTGTAGATGGAAACGGAAACTAGACCAAAAATCAAAACAACTAATATTCATATGTTACACAAACACACTGCTTAGTGTTGGATTTACTAAAGCCATAGATCTTACTAGGGTGTGACAAAGTTGCAATAAAAAGTCACCAATCTCTATTTTAAATAGTTTTTGGTAAGGGATTGAGTCTAGCCATTAAAACTGAGAAAACTATCAGTTCAGGGTCCAATAGATACACAATAAAGGCTCACGCAATGTAACACTGATATTTTATCCTAATAAAAGACTTTTTGAGAGTAGATTGAAAGGAAACGGCAGTTAAAAAGCTCAATACTGAAGTGATCTTCTGTGTTGTCGACTGTGACCACAGCAGAGAAAAGAAGTTTAAAAGAGACTGATCTTAAAATCTTAATTTAACAAAAATAAAAGTTTTCTGTATTTTCAGAATTTCTTATTGTTGTTGCAATATCAAAGTGAGATTAGAAGGATTTCTGCAATCTGTAATAAATGGCACAAGTAGGCTAGTTCCAATCTTAATAAAAACTGTTGCATTGGTCTTAAGAGATGGTATTGCCTTCCAGATTTTTATGTTTTTGTTTCGGTTTTGAGGTTAAAAGTGTCTGGTTTTGACTATCACTAATCTAAACTATGTTTTAAAGTGGAATAGTAGATATGTTATAAATCAAACACATCATGAATTGTTTTGTTTCCAGATCTTAAGCAGTGCAAGTACGCTGCGGCGCTCTCTGATGCCAATAGCACTCTCGCTCTGGAGCCTGATAATGTTAAAGCTCTCTTTAGAAGAGGGGTTGCGCTTCAACATCAGAACAAATTCAGAGGGGTAAATAGTTCAACATTGTTTACTTTTAGGAATGAGCCCCTATAAATTATTCAGCATTGTTGTGTAGCTGCTATTTGCAAACAATCGTCTCTAAGCATTTGGATAGAGAGAATTATTTTCGTATTATGTCCTACCTTCACGTTTAGGTTCACTAGGCTCTATCTTGGGATTGTTTTTCACATTACTTCAGGCTAGTCCTAGGGTTTTGGGTTTATCACTTAAGTATAAAATCCATCGGTAATTGGCGGGATTTGAACCCTGACCTCGGGGAAGGAAGTCCCTTGCTCTACCACTACCAGGTCTCTCCCTGGCGATGGCTAGGCGTACAAGCAGTTGCCATGGTCACTGTCAGTGAAAAGTAGTTATAATACTGTCCATTTTTGCGCACAACTGCTGGCTGTTTTTTAGATTCAGAAAATCTACATTCGAAAGTCTTTTTCCTTAAAACATTTTCATTATATTTACAAGATGAGCTCAAACAGTTTAAGAGTAGTGCTTAGATTTTAAAACTTAAAAAAATTATATGGAGTTTTCATTAATCTGGACAACTCCCCCATCTGATAAATGAAGGTTTACTGTACCTTAGAAAAACCAGTAGGAGATGGAAACCGAATAAACATAAACAGCTGATTGGATACGATAAGAATAGAAGAAACAGGGGTGGGGATATATTTGAACATTAGTTGTTGTGTAATCATGATAAGTAGTTTCTTTCAATGTAATAAAAAAATCATATCTTGTTAATGAATTTGATGAATTCCATTGACTCTGCAGTTAGTTATTGTGTGAAAATTTCCTCACTATTGTTGTGAATCAGCACAATATCTTCCGGTGTGGATATAATTTCATATACCTCAGTCCATTTTCATTTAGGACCTTTTAATTACATTTGGTATGATAACTTAAATCTATAATGGGTAGGCCCTATATGGTGGCATGAGACATTAATCAGTTATTTATTTGGGTAGGCCTATATCAATTTTAATATGGAGACTTGTAAGTTTGTTACATGTTGTTTCTTGAATTTAAAACTTGGATTTTGACAGGAAAGCCAATTATGATTTGTTTATGAATAATTCCTCATTAGTGGTATCGGTACATGAAATATTGGAAGTTTTCCCCACAGGGATTATTCATCTGATTGTTGGGAAATCTTCTCTGTCTTTTAAAACAAATAAACACACTTAGGTTTAGAAGAAAATAAAAGTAGGAGTAGAAAAGAACACAAACACAAATAGTAACAGTACTACTAAAAATGAAATGTTGAATTGCTCCTTTTGACTTTAAAACAGTTCTGGGTTTTATAATTTTGACTTATTATGTTCTGGCAATCAAATTATTGTTTAAATTTAAGTATTGGCTGTGTATGACTTATTAAACATAAAACCATTTGATTTGTCGATTTTGTACATGTGGATAAACAAGTAAATAAACCATGTTACAATTGACAAAATTCCTATGATAAATATTTGTAAGGAAATAAATGATCTGATTTTCAAAACAATACACATCATAAATACCCCAGTAGCAGCAAATCTGCAGACTAAGCGAATTTCAACTTGTCTGATTACATTTTTACTAAAATATTTCCATAAATAAGACATATTTATTCCCAATCTATAATATTAAAACGAAACTGTGTTTTTTTATTTCACGATTCTGAATCAACCACTCGACGGATTTTCATGATTTTTGTGTTGAAAGAAAGATAATTTTGAGAACTAGGGAATGTCGAAGCCATAATTTTATTTTAGGGTCCCAGTTTTTTAGAAATTGTGTTTTAATTTTTAAAAAGTCTAGCAGCCGACGCTAAGATTTTAAACTAGCTTTTGGCATAAAATAATTTGTTTAACATAACAGCTGTAAACATTCAGCTTTTGTGTCACAAATTCGGTATTTGGATAAAAATGTAAAGACATACTTAGGGTTGACTTATTTATAACTAGCTGTAACCCGCGGGCTTTGCCCCGTTTAACTTCTTAATTTTCAAGATTATCTCGTTCGCATGGCTCAATCACGTCCTGGTTGAAGTTTGTTCGCTACGCTCACTCACCTTTAGGTTGGAGCTCGTTCGCTACGCTCACTCACCTTTAGGTTGGAGCTCGTTCGCTGCGCTCACTTGCCTTCAGGTTAGCTCGTTCGCTACGCTAACTCGCCTCCAGGTTGAAGTTCGTTCGCTACGCTCACTCACCTTTTGGTTGCAAATTAGCTGTTGTCATAAATGTAAAAGAAATAATAGTGCTGCACCCTGTTGGTAATTTTTGTAACTTTAATGCTATTGAACATCACAGAACAGAACCAACTTGTTTAATTGAAACAGCTGTTAAGATTCAATAATTTCATTTCTCATAAGGTTAACATGGGAAACTCCAGAGCCACTGGGGCGGAGCCCGAAAGGATTTTTGAAATAAGAATATGCCTATATGTTAATCGGGAATGTGAGCTATCATCATGCCAAATTTCAGCCCAATCCGACCAGTATTTTTCGCGTTCACTTGTCACAAACATACATCCATACATCTATACATCCATACATCCAAACTTTCTCATTTATAATATTAGTAGGGTATGTGTAATGCTAATCATTGATACGTTCAATTCTTCTGTAAAAGGATGACAGATTAATTAAATATACATAGTAGGATGTTCAAATTATTTTTAATGCAATCTTTGTAATCTTCGATTTGTTTTAGAGCAATATAATTTGTTTTAACTAACAGCTGGTTAAATTATAAACTATGGAACTATGAGGTTATTTAATTTACTCTTATTTTGTCATTGATTATAGTAAATAAGTAAGATTAGTAGAGATAATTAGACCACAGTTTAAAATAGCTTAGACCAAAATTAATTAAACCACAGTACACATCGAGGCTTACACGAGTCTTAAATAAAAAAGGATAAATGCAAATTATTTTACTGCTCCACTTTTCAAGGAAAGATTAGAAAAATAACAATGTTTACATGTTTTAATTCTTCATGGTAGCTTTTTGTTTACAATTATGTTTGTCTGCTTAAAAATTGTTTGGATTAGGCCCGCTAATATTGATGTCACAAAAAGAAGATCAAGAATAATCAGGAATCACGATTTTAAATTACCACCACAACCTCAGCCTCAGACGGGTTTTATACAAAGATAAACAGATGGATGACATAGATTGAACACAACGTCAACATTGACCTCGGATACTGCAATTAGACAAACCATCCTTTTATGAAATCGTGAAATCGTTCAGTTGTGGTTACGTTTGGGGGTGCCTATATCAGCGCCCCCAAACGTGAAAATATCACTTTTATTTTAACTATGAATATATTGTAGTTTAAATTAACTAATATGGGAAATTACAATGTACATTTATTCAATGAGGGTGGGTAATTATCAAGGATAGAACTGATAACGGTATGGATAATAAACATTGACAATTACGTCATTAGCTTTACTAGCGTTTTTACTTTTTATATTCCTGCTACATGTGACCAGTTTTTTTCAAATGAATGTTATTTGAACCAAACAGCTGTTTCAAAACAAACTGTTATTTTTTTACTTTTCTTTGTTTACACTTATTTATTTAGCAATTAATGCAGTGAAATTGAGGATAGGTGTGACGATTAGTTTTGATGTTAGGACACCAAAGTTAAATTATGTGTACTGTGAATTTTATTGGATATTATCGTTTTATTTTAGGTCGTTTCTATTCAGACCTACTGGAAATTGTGTATAGTAGTACGTTTTCTGTGATAGTAGTTGTATTGTGGTGATAATAATTAATGAAGAGGCAGGTATGCTATGGAAGGTAGTATCGTTGACTAGGTCTATACACTTCTCAATTGACTATTACTCTCTCTACTGTAGCAGAGAAAACATACTACTATTCTGTGACTGTAGGCTACTTATAATCAGTGTGCGTTTGTGCGAATCGGCTGCCTCACTTAAACGCTTTTCACATCGTAAAAATTGCAGAATTGATGTTTTATTGTAAAATTATCAGATTTAAAATGCATATCGTATAGGCCGTATCAGGTATATATATCAGGTATATATTATGAGGAATAAAAACATATTTGGTCACACAACATTTGTTTACAAGATGATTTTTCACATTAAAACTGCAAGAAACTTTGTCTTTATGTGTAAACTAGCTGATCTGAATTGTACACGGTTTTAACTGACTACTGAATTCCCGTACGTAGGACGGGCTAACACCTCGTTTAAATAACACTAGTTGCTCTGCCCGTGCTTCGCTACGGGGTAGGATGCAGAAAAGAATACTTTGGTTTTACTATAAGATACTATTATATAGTTACAATAAGAAACAGTTAGAACACACTTACATATAGGCAAAGGCTCAATCGTGCTTATTGGATTATTTAAATTAAGATATCTTAATGTATTACAATCACTTTATATAGTGTATTGCATTAAAAATATATGCAAAATAATAATTCATTGAACACATGGCACCAAGAAATAAATCTCCTTGTAAACAAAATAAATTAAATAGCAGAACAGCATTTCTGACAACAGCTGGAGTTTTATAACAATATTTGTTTCCAATGTTAATCTTATGGAGAAATACAAAACTTTAAAGAGCCCCAGGGCCTCACTCTCTAATTATTTCCCTATAAAGAAAGTTTCAACTTCACGTTATGCTCTTTCCAATGACACCAAGAACATGTAAATCGGTTCAGTAGTTTCGGAGGAGTAATTGTCACAAAAAACCTGTTTGCGTATTAAATAAGTATAGATTATATTTAACGAATGGTTAGGTTTGCTGCTACGGGGAAGGTAAAAAGTGTTTTTTGACCATACGTCAATAGTATAAGATGAAATAAATAAATTTGCCAAATTTTTTTATCAACATACATCCATAAACAAGTAAACTACAACAGTTTTAATTTTCTCCATAAGAATAACATGGGGATTTTAAATTACACTGTTTTTGATTTTTCTCTATGACCGTTGGGCATACAACAGCGCTTCAATATACTAAATTATTTCT